TAGAATAGAATAGAATAGAATAGAATAGAATAGAATAGAATAGAATAGAATAGAATAGCCTTATCCCAAGTGGTTTTATCTTCTATTTCTTTGTAAAGCAGCATTTAGTCAGCCTTGTATTTTTTTAACAGTCACATTTAATCAGTTTCATTATTATTTAATTAATCTTTGCAGTTGTTTGTTTCTGCAAGACAGAGTCCACCTACACGGGCAACCAAATAGGTTTAGCGCTGTTGTAACTGCAGTGGGATTTCCAGCAACGCTCGAGCGTTTAGCCAACTCTATGCTTGTGACGTTTCAAGTCCACCCACACATTAACATGCAGTGACAGATGTGGAGTAGAGAATGGCTTTAAAAAGGCAGGGGTACAATCTGTAGCAGAGGAGTGGAAGACCAGCCAAAGTGGCGTTTAACCCTTTTGTGGGGTGAGGGGTTGCATGGAGTGAAATATGGTGGGTGTGGGTCCACATTTCATTGTAAGTTGGGGTTCTCTTTTCTCTGCCATTCTGGAGATCTTTAATGGTTTCCTCAGCTCCCACCAAATACCTAGATTTGTTGACATCCAAAATATGACCCCTGGGAAGAATTCCCTATCCAAAATTGATGGAAACACACCAGCTTGACCCCTGGTGAGTTCAGGGACATGTTTGTGTTGGCAACAGTGCAGGAATCATTTATCACTGCTGATTTTGGGGAGCAGTGTAGCCTACATTCCTAAGACTTCCTGGTGGTCCCATGTTCAAAGACAAACCAGGCCAGGCCTTTGCTTTGGTTCCCAAGCTCAACCAAAGTTGGCTAGAGGCTGCCACTTAGCTGGACCGTGGCACACAACCAGAAGTGTAACTCTGGCCTACAGAAGATTCGCGGAGTTTATGTTCCAGCACACAGCCTAGTCACCTTACCTCTTTTTCTATTAACGCATTCAGTTAAGAGGTTGGCTTCCTAGCAGCTTCATAAAAGGAAACAGGATGATTTCCAGCCTCATAAACTTCCTTGAAACCAACTGGAACAATTGTCCAACTGGAGCAAAAGAAGCCACTTCAGCTGAAGCAATCCTCATCCACACTTGCAGAGAGCAGAGGAATCTGGCTGCTTGGCTGAAGAGTGACTGCAAGACTTCAGGCAATGGGAAGGAGTAGGGTCTCCTCTGAATGTGTGGGAAGAGCAAATAAGGCCAGATCTTTTTCAACTACAGAACTTAGCTACACCAGGAACTAAAGGGGAGCCTTCAGCAGGCAATTGTCAGTTAGAAGAAGACCTCTCATCAGCACCCCCATCAATTAGAAATCAAGGATCTACAATATCCCTCCAAACCTAGAAAATTAGATACTTTCCCATTTCCCCCCCTTCTTTTGGGCTTTCCCATGATCGACTGGAAAGACCCTATTTTCTCCTTGTCTCCCAAAATCCATCCTATGGATGAAGGAAAGCACTTCATTTCTGAAAGAGAAGTTTGGGAATCTCCTGAAGGCATCTTTGTGATATTTGCTTCCCTTTTCATCCCCTGCCCTCACTTTCTTCCCCCTAAGGCACCACAGAGGCCTGTCTTAATTTACACAAGATGCTCGCCCCTAATGTAATTGGCTTGGTTCGGTCGTAACATGGGGTGTGAGCCAACAGTTGTGTAAGCTAAGTCCCTTTCTCCCGTACATGCCCGCGCTCTACCGCCAAGTGTCACTCCCTCAATTCCTGGAACAAATCCTGGAAATGAATTAAAACTTTTATTAATTTAAGACATTGTTTTGCAATTATTGAAGCTAGTGTGGGCTGGGAAGGGCTCTACGTAGCAATACTTGAACCTGCATGTGATCTACTGAGGTCCAAAGGGCCTGCTCCTCAATGTTCAAGATGGCTTGGACCACTAGGAAGAAGCCATTATGGGCGCACGGAAAGGTGACCGACAGATGTATGATATTAGCGTCTTTCCAAAACATTGTTCTACTGCTCCCTTTTGAGATACGAGTGATTTCTGAGATATGAGTGATTTCTGCTGGACAGCCGTGCCCATGTCCCCCTTGCTTCTGAGGAGGCCCGCAGAGCCTTCAACCCTAGACATACCCACCCAGATGCCTTGGGGCCTGGCACCAGAACATCTGTATTCAGATTCTCCTAGTATGATTAAGGTTTCTGGGGGCAGATAAAAAGCGTAACATTTCTATGGGGATACAGTAACTTCTTAACGTGTAATTCAATCACCCGGCACCATGGGGGGGGGGGTGACTCTGCATTATTAAGTGTTCGCAGGGGTGAGGGCGGTTGGGAGACCCTTGTATCACCCAAGCTCCTTAAGAAGTACCGTTGGGTTGCCTTTCAAATATTTCTCCCCGGGGGGAGAGGTGCCTTTGGCCCCTATCCGGAGGTCATTTGGTACTACCAAGTGTTCGCAAGGACGCCAGGGTCGCTT